GGATCTTACAAACAAAGACAGTTTACATGGTACTAGGATCTTCCTATCTCTCAGCTATGATCTTCCTAGTACTAGGGAGATCCTAGCGCTAGAGACGAGTGCAACCCTGTGCCTGTAAACTGAACACGGAAAACATACATAGTTCTAAGGTGATCCGCCTTCTAGGATCTTCCTAGTGCTAGGATCTTCCTCCCCTGTAATGGTCGGGGTTCAAGTTGTTAGTGGTCGAAATTTCTTGGGTCACATTTCTAGACATCTAAAGCTTGTTGTTGTTGTTTTTTTTTTTTCAGTTTTGTTTGTTCCTAGACATTTTTCTCGTTATGATAAAATCGGCATTCCAGTCAGAGCAAACCTCATGAAGTACAAGTAATACAGCTTTCAAAAATTTCATTTAAAATCTATTTTTAAAACCAAGATGTTTCCAAGGTTTTCAAGATATCAGCTTAATTAAAACCTCTGGTGAAGGAAGGGGATTTTTAAGACCAATGTACATCAAACTCAAACAAATGTGTTCAGCGCGCTTTTTAGTGTGTAGGTGTTTAAATGAAATTCATCACATGACACCAAGCTTTGCATGGTTTATAATCAAAACGTCAGTTATTACTAGTTTATTAAATTACCGTGTAACCAAGTCCCTCGGCATTTTCTCCCGAACCGCCATCTTGTCCTTTGTGTCCGTTGCCTCCATTTGCGATCACAGTTAGAGAACCGCGAACTACGCCAACAAGTATTTCAACTGTGAAAATAATTTAGAGGTCAGTTTAAAAAGTCAGAGACAGGTGAAATATTCTGTGTGATTTGTGATTTTAACAACTCAAATAAATTTATACTGGGTAGGTCGAAACAAAAAAATAAGAAATTCAACCCACAAATGGCGTCGACGTCGATGTCGAAGTAGTCTTGTTTAGTCCCAGTATATTCATTTCGACAGATTCAGTTGTTCAAACTTTGTATAGCGTTAGGCGCCCGATATCTATATTGAAATTGCATTGGCGATGAGATATCGATTTATCCACCGTGGATAAGGGACGTGATTGTTCATCTCAATCGCGATTGTTCTATTGATTGTTCTATGAGACTGCGTATTCAAGATATAATAGTTGCTGCAGCCAGACTCTTTCCTTCCACTTACCCTTAGGACCATCAATTCCATCGTTTCCCTTTTCTCCATCCGCACCAGTTGTCACTCGGTTTGTAAACTGCTGATTCCAGTTCGGTGCTGATATGTCAAGTTCACTTCCGGGTGTAGCAATTATTCTTCTAGCACAAACGGTCAGTTCTTTGATTCCGTACAATTTAACAGAGCCCTAGCGAAACAGAAAGCCTGTATTTAAATTGAATACTAAGGGTAAACCTTTACCAAGTTGATCACTAGCTGTCGTCAACTATCTATGTCCCTAGCGACCTTACGATGCGGCTACGTGTCCGCAAAGAAATTTAAAAAACGCGTGAGTGTACTTAGCCTGAGAAAGTAGCCGACATTTCGCGAAGCCACCACAGATTTTCCCGCGAAATGATTTCTAAGAAACGATGGAAGAAATTCCAGATCTGAGCAGTGCTTCTGATTGGCTGAAAATTTGGGGCTGTTTTCTACGGCTGGAGTGGATGTGAAGAGTCTTTGTTTTGCTCACTAAACTTTTTGTATCTTAGAGATTGCGCTCCGCCGCTGTGGCATTTTAGAAAAGTCCCTAAACAAGAATTTGGTAAGTTGACGTGGAAAATCTCGTGGAGAACAAAACGAGAAAGGGGTATCTCAAAGAGGCAGAGAGAACTTAGACCTTTTCTGAAAAATAGCTTTTCAGAGATCTGTAAGTTTTGTGTTTAAAGTTCAAATAAATTGATGTTGATTTTAAAACAGCTTCCTCTTAAACGTTTATTGTTTATAGCAGGTCAAAAGATTCAAAAAATATTGATGTAATATATCAAAGCATCGACACAGCGTTTCATCAACAGATGAAACACCTCGAAATTCGTCAAAAATACTGTGCTGTGCGTCGTATTTTCAACTGTCTTCTCAGTGTATCATCTGGTGATAAAACACTGCGTCTCATGCTTAATATATTTTATCAATATTTTTAGAATCGTTTGACCTGCTATAAACAATAAACATTTTGACCAAAAACTTGATACTAGATTTTGACCAAAACTTCAAAGTACAACAGTGGCCTGCAGATTTTTCTTCTCTGGTTTTGAAAATAACATTTCAGTTATCCCGCAAGATATTTTTCAGGCACAGACCAGCAGTTCATGTAGACCTAAAGCGTGATAGTTTTTTTCCAGCTTTGAGACTCACCTCAACGTATAAGGAGTCGGTCTGAATTTCCACCTTTGAAATGAACCGCATTTCCTGCCGAGCTCGGCTAAAGTCGTAGTTAAGTCCTTGCTTTTTTTCTAATTGTTCTTTTACATACTTCAGATGAACGACTCTTCCAAGAATACGATATTTTCCTAAAAGAAGAGAATAAAATCGTTTTTTTAAAGCCCTGATAAGGGTGAATGAAAGTAATAAGACCATCAAGTTCTCGAAAGCCACAGCTATCGAGAACTCCGGGCTTATCGAGCCTTATAGAGCACCTAACGGCTTATCGTACACATAGCATAAGGGAAAAATGAAGTCTAATAAAGGACATTTATTAAGAGCCGTAACGTCATTTTTAAAATGATGTCCAAGAAAACTGAATCGGCGACATGGAATTTAAGAACATGAAAGAGTTCATGGACTTCTGATCGACAACTCAGTCAGTAGGGAGACATCGTTCTTCAAGCTTAAATCAGATTCACATTTTTCCAATGAGTTTCGATTCAACAAGCTCATATCTCGGTACATTCCCTTTTGAATTAAAGGATATAATGAGCCTTATGTTTTTGTTATCTTACCGGCTTCCATTTCCAGTAACGATGGAATATGAATCCAACTCGTTTGTGGGACTTTTGGAGTTACCTCTTTAGATGAATTGCCGAGTGTGGTCTGCGCGCATCCGTTATTGATAGTCACCTTACTGAATACTGTAGACGAAAAGCAAAAGCGAAGGAAAGAAACTGTAAATTTATAGCCTGCGTCACAGAGGAATTTAAACCTTTGGTTAAGTCCCCCTGCGAGCCAGCGCCAAAATGTTTGTTCTGCGTCCTCACCAGTGTATCAGGAATTGAGTACGCGCTATGATTTCTGCGTTAAAATATGCACTGGAGTCCATTATTGGCCCATAATAAGGATATCCGCGCTTCTTAACAGACGTTACTACGGCGGGATTAGATTACTCCTTCAATGCAGGCTATCAATATACAGCAAAATTCCATTAGATGATCTTGAAATAAAAACAAGCAATGAGGGAGAGAAAATCTTAAAAATTAATTAATTTTGCTCTCTCCTTCTAAGTTCACCTACACTAAAGCACACAGCATCCCCAAGAGAAAAAAAAGTAAAGGAAAATGAAAAAGTTATTCGTAGAATCTTTGGCGTTAATTTGTTTATTTTTCGTTCATTGATTTGTTTTTATTTTACTACATTACCTTTGAACGAACACCACTCGAGGACAACAATTTTACTTTGCTCTTTAATAATTGTAAAACCCAATTATAAAATGAAAGTTTTGTTCAGCCCATTTGCTTATATTACCTGGAAAGTTAATGATAATTGAATAAGAAATAAAAAAATGTCAGAACATACCCTTAGGTAAGAAACTGGATGAGCTGATAAGAGCAAAAACCACGAAAGACGTACTTAACCAATTCTTCATTTTTTGTCACGTCCTGTAAACTGCAACACTTTCTTTCCGGCTGAGAAGCCCGTAATTAAAATATTTTCCCATTTCTTATTTATAACCTATCACTGTGTTGGAAAACGAGATTACAACAGCGGGAAGAATACCTGCAGTGATATAGTGAAGCACCTAGTTTGGAAGGAACAATGAGGGATGTTTCTTTGTTTAAATCACTGCTTAATTTCATTTTAACGAAGGAACGTTATGAAGGGGATACCGCGGTTACAATCAAAATTAAATGTTTTGTTCTGTAGGGGGTAATTAAGTCAATTTTGTTAATAAAGTTAACAGTGAAAGATTGACATATTGCACTAAATAGTCATTACAATTTTTTAACATAATTAGCCCGATGCCAGACCGGGACATATATTTTATCATAATTACCCCAATGACAGACCGGGAATTTACCTCCTACGTTGACAAGTTGTACTAAATCAGCTTAAATGGGATGATGCCCAATTCTAGCCATTTTAAATCGTAATAAGGAAACAAAAATATAAATGTTGTCACTTCAGCCTAACCCCAAGTACTTTGTTTGTCTTGTTTATCAAGTTGTTTACTCATTTTGGTTGATTTATCCATGATCAAAATTCACTTTTTAGCTTTTATTGTAAAATTGAAACTCTATGAGTGAATCAAAGTTGTTTGAGAGTAAAAGGCTCTGGGTATTTTTTGCCAGATGGAAAGCCCTGATTTCTAATGAAGTTTGAAAATTAAAGACAAAGCAACTGGTCAAGCTGAAAAAGTCATTGTCATAACTAGATTGAGTCTCAAAGGTGTTTCTATAAACGTTATTCTCGTCCTATTAGACGGTCGGTTGTATTGAAGGGGTGATAATACTAGCAAAGTCGTGGAATAAACACAGTGAAATATTTCCGCGCTTCCAATGAGTGCTGTGATTGATGGAGCGGTCATGTGAACAGATATTTTATAACGAGGTTTAAAGGAGAAATGACTTTTATGTTCCGATGCTATAACAAACTAACAGAAAAGTGTAACAGTGTTGCAGCTAACCTATGAGAGTTAACTTCTGTTTGTAACATCGCATGCGCAAGTACTCAACTAAAGCATGTAGCGCTATAACGCTATGAGCAAATGTGTTTGAACCGGCACTAAGGCTGCGTATCCGGTCGATGTTATAGGAAGCCAAGCAAAAAAAAAAACACAAACGAACAAACGAACAAACAACAAAAACAACAAAACAATATTGGAGCAGAGTAAAACCTCGATCTTATAGAACGGGAAACAAGGGAAAAAGGGAACAGGGGAACGAGGGAAGCAAGGTAAACAAGGGGAGCAGGGGACGAAGAGGAAAAAGGAGAACAAGGGAATAGGGAAGCTAGAACACAAGGGAAACAGGGTAACAAGGGAAACAAGGGAAAAAGGGAAACAAGAGGGACAAGAAAAACAGTGGAACAAGGGGAAGAGGAAAACAAGGAAACAAGGGAAACAGGGAAATAATGAGAACAAGGCAACAGGGGGAAAAAGGTACGGAACAGGCGAACAAATAAAAACAGGGAAACACTGGGAACAGGGAAATAATGAGAACAAGGCAACAGGGGGAAAAAGGTAGGGAACAGGCGAACAAATAAAACAGGGGAACAAGGAGAACAGGGCAACAATGGGAACAAGGTAAACAAGGGAGAAAAGGGGAACCGCCAAACAAAGGGAACATGGGAACTGGAGAATAGGGGAACAAGGGAATAGGGCAACAGGGGAAACAGGGCAACAAGGGGAAAGGGGAAACAGGGGGAACAAGAGGAACAGGGAAATAGGGGAACAAGGGGAAGAAGGCAACAGGGGGAACAGGGGAACAAAGAGAAAAGGGGGACTAAAGGAACAGGGTAACAAGAGAAACCAGGGGACAGGGTAGCAAGGGGAACAAGGGATGCAGGGGAATAAGGGAATAAGAGAAAAGGGGGATAAGGGAAACAGGGAAAAGAGGGAAACAAGGGGAAGAGAAGAATATGGGATGAGGGGAACACGAGCAACAAGGCAACACGGGCAACAAGGGAACGGGGAAACAAGACATCACAGGGAAAAAAGGGAAGAGGGGAACAAGGGGAACAGGGTAACAGGGGACCAAGGGAAACAAGGGGAACAAAAAGGAACAAGAGAAACAGGGAAATAAGAGGAACAAGGTAAACAAGGGAAATAGGGGAACAAGGAAAACAAGGAGAGCTAGGGGAACAGAGGAACAGGGGAAAGAAGGGAACAAGAAAATAAGGACAAAAAGAATAGGGGAACAGGACAACAGGACAACAAGGGGAACAAGGGAAACAGGGGAATAAGGGGAACAGGGGAACAGCGGAACAAACGAACAAGAAGAACAGCGACATAAAGGGAGGAGGGAAACAAGGAGAAAAGGAGAACAAGGGAACAGGGAAACAAGGAGAACAAAGGAAGAAGGGGAACAGGGAAACAGGGGAACAAGGAAACAGGGGCAAAAAGAAGAACAGGGGAACAAGGGGATCAGGGGAACAAGGGGAACAAAGGTAACAGGAAAAACTGTTTGAATTGTAGAGGTCCACGCAACGCGTAAATATAACTGACTGGTTCCTCTTGCCGGATCTCTAATTTAATAAAGACATGCTGTAGCCAGACTTTACTTACAGTGTAAAATAAAACAAAACTGAATGCAGCGCTGACACTACGGCAAAAGGCTGATTAATTATAAGCCAATATTTCGGCTAACACAATTAGCCATTCTCAGGGCCAGAGCTATACCGAAGGAACCGAAGGAATGAACATTAAACTGTTTCTATTTCTATTTTCATTGTATAATCATTTACCCGTATATTATTCTATCTAGTATTAATAATTGTAGTTCATTATTAAGCACATGTGAATTTTAAATTCAAATTAAAAGATATTTTCTCTCGGTATAGCTATGGCCCTGAGGAAGGCTAATTTTGTTAGCCGAAATATTGGCCTATAATAAATCAGCCCTTTGCCGTAGTGCCAGCCTTGCATTCAGTTTTGTTTTAAAGTAACTGGGGAACAAGGTTAATAATGGGAAGGGGGTAAATATACAAGCCTTTATTTTTTTTGGAAGCGATACGGCATGAGGAGGGCATTTGGAAAATGGTTGACACACAGGGTCGTATAAATCGATTGCCAAAAATGTTAGTAAGACGGACCTCCTTGACTGGACCAGTTTGCGGCACTCAATACTGTCCGGTCGAAAAGACATCATATGTCTTGATAACTATCTTTCTATTAATTCTGCACCATTATTTAAAATCAACAAAGACGTATTTGAACAAGGGGAACAGGGGAACAAGGGGAACAAGGGAAACAAGAGGAACAGTGGACCAAGGGGGACAAGGGGAACAGGGGAATATGGGAATAGGGGAACAAGGAGAACAAGACAACAGCTTATTTTTATTTTTAGCTTTTGTGTCGCGAATTTCCATTCGGGGAGTAAATCAATTAAGTCTTGTGTAAGTAACTATCTAGCCCTCCAAAATTTAGATGTAATGACACCATCCTCGGAGACCCAGGGGCAGATAGTGGGGGCGAGGGAAAGTCTAAACGGGCGGAAAAATAAGGCACGAAGAAAAGTAAAGAACGGCCAGAAGAGCCCCTGGGGACAATGTCTTACCAGACCAGTTCCAAACGGTCGCCGCAGTTCTGGCTTCTGATTGATGCCAGAAAACTTTTGTTTTTCTGACACCAATCAGAAGCCAGAAAAACAGCGACCGTTTAGAACTGGTCTGGTAAGACATTGTCCCCAGGGGCTCTTCTTGCCGTTCTTTACTTTTCTTCGTGCCTTATTTTTCCGCCCGTTTAGACTTTCCCTCGCCCCCACTATCTGCCCCTAGGTCTCCGAGGATGTAATGACACATACTCTTACAATGACTTTTTTTTTTAAGTCTTGATATTTTTCCTGTTTCTCTCTCTCTCTCTCTCTCTCTTTGCTTTTAACGTTGCTGTCGCTAGGTACCGCATAATCAGGACTCTGTTGTTATTATCATGGACAGTTATGTCAGGCCTACGGTGATTCATCTCATGATCGGTTTGTATGGTAAAATCCCATAATATTTTCATTTCTTCATTCTCAGTTATCCCTGCAGGGCTATGTTCGTACACTTGTTGTCGATACCTGTCACCATGTATAGATGCATTCGGTGCAGAGGCGTATCCAGCAGTGTTTTTTTTTTTTTCATATTTCATGAAAAAAAGATGGACGATTAAATTGAAACTTACAAAGTAAACTTAATTAGGGGATACTTAAGTAGCTTTTCAAGAACTATGTTGCGGTGTTGAAGAACAAGAGAAGATACAAGTAATAAACGAGAAAAAAACCCTGCAGTAGTATAGTTGTAGAGCTGTTTTAAAAATTTACCCTTCAACAGTCAGAACAATAAATCGCAGTCAGAGATTCGGGGCAGAAATCGTGCAATCACGTGGGCTATTTTTAGATAATTAGTATACTGTGATTCAGTTATTTTTATAACGGTCAGTAACAGTGCGGCAGTATTGGACATGACTGTTTTATTTGTATCAAACTCTGTCACACATCCCATCCAAAAGAAAGGAAAATAAAATTTTTAACGAAGGATATTGAACCTCACGAGATATAACAGCATCTACAATGATCGCATTGATATATAACGAGAGAGAAAAGAGCTCTTAAATGCATTTTCTAAAAGCTATCCGTCACTTTTTCCTCAAAGAAATTGAAAGGTCATTATAGATTTCTAATTTTTTTTTTCTAAAATTAAAGTTTGCAACTTCGTGACAGGAAACGCAAAAAGTCCTTTTCAGTGAATAAACATCTGGTTGCTAATTTTTTATTTTTGAGACAATTGTGTTCTTTAAGTTCAAATAAAAGGCAACCGTAAGTGCTTTCCTTTGTGTGGTTAGCGGGCAGGTGTCAAAATCTTGGTTTTAATTTGTATCGCTTTAAAATCGTCTGTAGCTTTGTTTTGAACCGTTCGCTTGAAACAAACTCAAACCTTCACGGATAGGGTTACTTTATCGAGTCACAACTTTGAAAGAAGTTATTGCATGATATAACACTTTTCCACCAATGGAAAAAACTGGCGATGATCAAAGAAGTTTCCTTGAGGTCATAATACACACTGCTATTCTCACTTTAACTTCCATTTTGTCACTGGCAGGAAATTCTCTAGTTTGTCTCGCATTCTACCGAAACAGGAGATTACGGACTATCACCAATTTCTACGTACTATCTTTGGCAGTAGCGGACATGACGATGGCTGTATTCTACTTTCCTTTCGGGGCAGTGGCTTCTAGTTTACACAAATGGCCATTTACCAAATGTTACTGTCATTTTACCAGCTTTCTTGGTGCTTCTTGGGCCCAGATATCAACTTTTACCTTGGCACTCGCATCGTTGAATCGATACTTTTGCGTCGTAAAGCCTCACAGATATTCAACATTGTTTACCAGGAAGAAAGCAGTCATTTCGATTGTTGCTTTATGGCTTTTTTCAGGGGCTCTTACTCCGTTGTTTTTTGCAGCTGATCCTATTTATGAATGGTCTCCAATTTTCTTGAATTGTCGAGCAATTTTCAAAGATGAGCAGGCGATGAGGATTTCTTATCTATCCTTTGGATGTCTCTTTATAGTTCCCATGTTACTGGTGATACTATGTTACAGTAGTATTCATCACGTTATAAGGCACCACAACAACGCAATCGTTCCATCTCTGCAACAAAATAACAGCCCGGCGACGAGAATTCAAGACATAAAGACCTGTCGGGTGGTGTTTGTCGCTGTTTTAGGATTTTGCCTTTGCTGGAGTCCCTTTATCTCCACAATGGTTTTGCAGTTTGGTTTTCAAATACCTATTTGTCCTTCTGTGCTGTCGATTTGCTTCCTACTTACCTCGGCCTCGGCTTACATTAATCCTCTAATTTACGGCGTCGTGAACCAAACTATGAGAGTGGAGTTTCTGAAGATATTGTCATTAAGAAGTGGATAGGGGAACCTTTAACTAATTTTTTTCTAGCATCTACCCTTTTGACTTCCTCCAGCTTTCGCCTTAGAGGTCTACAGTGTGCAAACAACCAACATTTGTCAATTACGTCCGCCTTAGACAGGGATCCCCTTTGATAAACCACAAGTGACTCTCCATCTGTTATCGTCCAGCCAGTAATTGCGCCTGAATTTTTATTTTGTGAGAGAGATTTAAAAAGGGATTCGATGTATATTCTGCATCCTAAAGTCATTTAAGTGGAATCTAATGTTACTAGAAGTTTGTTTAAAAAAAGACAACCTACACTGCATTAGTAATCTCAGCCAAACCCATGGCAACTAATATATATCCAAAAGAAAACCCACTTTATTGGAGTGCCAGACTTTGAGAACACTGTATTGGTCCGGCCCCGAGACCGAACCCACGACCTTCTGCTATATCATTCTGCGGTCAAGTACTCTTCTGGTCAAAGATACTTTCGATATATCAAATTTTCAGTTCTAAACTCCATTTTATTAACTTTTTGAAACTGATTAACATGGTGAAAATGGCAAACTTAACATTGATTTTGCTACTGAGCATGACTTTATCTTACATTTCATTCACAAACCCCAGTTGTAAAGCAAACAACTGAAACGAAGTTTAGACAAGTGATCTTTTCCTATATACAATTTAAATATACTTGAAGCAAATTAACGGCAAAAACCACATAAGCGAGTTTGCCTCTGCTAGTTAACGAAAATGGTGGTTCTGAGCACGGCTCTGCGCGCAAAGGTAATGTTTACACTTAGAGCCTAAGCACGATGCCAAAGTAAGGTACTCGCTGGGCACTTCGCTGTCAACACACCAGGATTCGGGCGCGGTGCCGGTACCAGAATGGGAGTTCGAGACCTTGTACTCGGGAACTAATGTTGGTACTGGGTAACTATGTTCACACGTTTTCTGTTAGTTCCGAGGAAATTTACTGCTTTGTACGGCGTAATAAGAAAATAATAATGATAAAAAAAAATGTTACAGTTATATGTCAGGTACCCAAAGTGGGAACACAACATCATTTCGCGCCGTTACCCAGACATTAGTGCTCGGGCACCACGTGTAAACAGCCCCAAAGTTGCAAAAGAGTTTTTCTAGACGCTGTTTAGTTACACAAGACTTGCTGTGATGAAAGTGATGCTACCGAAAATTTCTTCTAAGAGAACTCCAGCGCCCTGCAGTCTTCATTTACTTTTTAAATGAAAACGAAAGGTAAGAACTCGATAGGAGGCTAGTTCCAAATACACAGTTGTTTTACTCTAATCTTTTGAGCCTGTCTTCAAGTACTCCGAGGGGTCTTTGATCACCTTCACCTCTGTAGCAGCAATGCTTTGTGAGCACATTGGACAAAGTGTTTCACCAGACTCAAGAAGACTATAATGGAAAATAATAAAGAGAGGAAAGGGTCGAGGTAAGTAAAGAGCGTGGTATGTACAGAGGTGGCTAGCCACTATGTAAATTTATTGGAACAAAAGTAAACCATTTACATGAGAAAAATAGTTCAACTCCCACAGGATTTTCTTGGTACACCAATATGGCCGCCGTGACGTCGTGAAAAACGAGAAGAAGACCTGTTTATTAATCTGTGTATTGTGTATTTTCAAATTTCAAACACCTACTTGCCGGAATCAGTTGTGAATATTTTCCTTTATGAGGAGGCTAACCCTGTATCAACGTGTCCTTAAGGTTTGTATTGAGCGGTAATTTTTATTCGAAAAAGGACTTGTGTTTGTAAGATATTTATTGGCCCATAGAAGTGCTTTTGAATCATGATAAGGTGAATTTCTTTTTTCAGTATGAGCGATACTCCATTCAGTTAGAAAACGTGAAATTAAAGAGCAGTAGGAACCATGACGTTTACAGCACTGGAGGTTATCCCCGTTCTGGCAGCATGACGCTGCTGGGAGTATCGCTACTCGTTCCCGGATGGGAGGCAAGTCCCTCACAGGATTACCACCCGCAGTATGTTGCCGGTAACCATTTATACACCTGTGTGAAGGGATACAAAGCAAGGAGCAGAGTTTCTTTTTCAGGAAAAAAAAACGTCATGATAAGCTCAAACCCCAGACCCACAGAACCTTAGCACCGGCGGATCTAGAAGACGGGTAAGAGAGGACCGGGCCACCACCTTATTTTTAGGCCAAACTGAAGCCTGCAGCGCCGGGAAGTATTAATTTCTTGAGGCCAGAGGCCCCTTTTAACTTACGCTCTGAATGAGCGGACCCCTCGCTTGCTCACTTGTCTTTTTCTTCCCTGCAGTGTTATTTAATAAGAAAAACGGTTTCAAGTATTACAGTGTACATACCTCATAAGTTCGGAGTGAAGAGCTGGGAAGGAACAATTTGGGCACACAGTCCAGTTATCCTTCACCATGTGCCGGCCCTAGAATTAAAAATAACGCCTATTCATTCATTTATGGAGATAAAAGATGACTAAGTCTGAAGTTGACTCACTGCACAGCAACTTGCGCCAGCGAACATTCGCGATCCTTTCCTTAGGAGACAGCGTGGTCAGAACGCTGAACTTCGCAATCCAGTGCTACCGCTTTCGATGATCACTCTGACCAACAGCTGGATTTGTTACCAATATACTCCAACTTAGCACTTTGGCTAATTTCCTAAATAGCCAAATGGTTTTCCTCCTACTAGGAGGGATTCTTTCACATTGCCCATAGTATTACCCCCCAAAATTTTGCATAACTATTGTTTCCAATTTCTCCTGCGTATCACAGGCGTCCCCATAGAAATCAAAGACAATGGTTATGCAAATTCTTGGGCAAACAAGGTGTATTATAGGCAACGTGAAAATAGTGAAAATTGTTATGTTGAATTTGAGTCATTTCCCAGCCAAATGGCTATTTCAAGGTTGCGCGTGAGACCGTAATACTGAGGAAACATTAGAAACAATGGTTATTTGAAGGTACATGTTGTGCATTAAGTGAAAATGATGAATTACCTTTAGTTATATATTTAAGGCTGCATTTACACTTCGTGCTCAAGTACGGTACTCGAAGGTCACTTAATGTGAACACAAAGTTATTCTAAGTGCTCAAAGGGTCCCGTTCGATCCCCGTGGAAACGTTTTCTGTTAGTTCCAAGGTGTTCCACTACTTTGGATAACCCCTGCTAAGCTCACGCTAGGGCGAAATTGAGCAAATATGTACACAGTTACATATAGGGTATCTTAACTTTTAACACAGCACCATTTTGTGCTGGTGCCCTGGCACCTGTGCTCGGGCACCAAGTGAGAACTCAGCCTGAATGTACAATTCCTTCACTTACCGTAATAATGCAGTATGGTATGGTGTTCTTACATTCTGGACAGTCTAGTTTTGTCTGAGGTACTTCATTGCTACAATAAGGACACGGGTCTTGGGCTTCTTCTTCTTCTGTTTTATCAGGTTTTCTAAAATCGCCAGAGCAAATCGATTTCGTGAAAAAGGAGACCGCGCGCAAGCATGAAATATTAACAAGAAATAATGTTTCTGGAATTTATTTTGATTCACTAGGCGGCTCGAGATTCGAGAAAGAAAAATCTTTGTGATTTTGCTGACGTCTCCTGTCCGCTGTCTGATATCCGATGTCTGATGTCTGAAGACTGTGTCTGCACGTCTGTCTACCTGTCTGTCCGTCGGATATCTACCTTTCTGATGACTGATATCTGACCTCTGCTGTTCTATGTCTGCTCCGCTGTTTGCTGTCTGTTGTCTGACGTCTTGAGATATCTTCTGTCTGATGTCAGCTGTTTATTGTCTGATGTCAGCTGTTTGCTGTATGCATATTTTTGATATGTTATGTCTGTAATCCACTGGCTGCTGTCTTTTGTCTGATGCCTCTTATCTGATGCTGGATGTCTGCTGTCTGCATGTCTTTTGATAATGTTATGTCTACTATCTGCTGTCTGTTATCTGATGTCTGATGTCTCTTATCTGATACCGGATGTCTACTTTCTTTCGCCTGCTGTTTGATGTCTGCTGTCTGCTGTCTCCGTGTCTTTTGACATATTTTGTCTGCTATCTACTATTTCTTGTCTGATGCCTCTTATCTGATACCGGATGTCTGCTGTCTGATATCATTTGCCTGCTGTCTGCTGTCTATGTCTGTTGTCTGGTGTCTGTTGACTGTATGTCGCATTGTGATGTTTGCTGCATACATGCCTTATGTCTAATGTTAAATGGAGGGGAATTCTGCCTGTAATACGACAATTTATCTCACATAGAATTTTGCTTTCTTACAAGGAGAGCCACAAAATGAAAACGGGATCAATAGGGGTTTCTGGGTAACCGAACACCTACCCCTTCCATCAGTCTCAATTTTGCCCTAAGTAAGAAGTAGGTGTTGACTTAGGGGAGGGGTAGGAGGTCAGTTACCTAGAAACAACCACTTTGCGCAATTAACTTGAAGTTAGCGTTTTATAGACTTTACTACTCAATCCAGCGAACCCTCTGGTCTCTGCCGAAGACAAACAGTATGGATTACCTGACAATTTGTTCAATCTTCTTTTTGTACTTGAGATCAATCTTTTGTCGATACTCGGGCCTCATCAACATGGCAGCGTAGCTGAACGAAGAGTTCTTCAGTCCTGAACGATGACACTCAATAACAGTGGACGTTAGAATAGGAACCACATCTAGTTAGCAAAAAAAATATATGCGGACATCTCTTTATCACAGAAGACAACGTACTAAATAGGAAGGATTCTTAGGCCAAGACCAAACCTCGAACTTTTCATGAGACGAACCGAACTTCCCTTTGGGACGACCGTAATTTAGTAAAGTTCGACTGCTGGATAAACGTCGAGCATAACTGAACGTCGAACTGCGATGAAAAGAAAAATAAGAGGGCTCGAAAAAAGTTTATAGTCGTGCGGAGGAATCACACTAGCCATAATATTTTTTGGGCGATTTTTGGACCCCAAAAAGTGCTCGCGATCGCTTACAAGAATTGGTGATTTACGAGAAGTTCCATCTATAG